GCTCTTTCTTCTGCATCTCTTGGCTGTTGAGGAATGGGTTGCCCATTCCTATTGTTTCACTTGCAACTCAGGGTGCTATATATCGACTTCCACCTTGTTAATCTGTATACTAAATCTCTCCATTTGTCCAAGGTGGTTATATGGAGCTGTAGTACCTCAGGGACTCCAAAGATATTAATGTTACCTGAAGATAATGGGTTTGATAGAGAAATCCTTCTCTTGTAGAACTGAGTTGAGAAAAAACAGCCTTCATTTGAATTTTCAAGATCTGTGGCCTCTTCACACTGCCTGAGGATTTCTTCTTCTGCATAAGGACATTGCTTTCCCATCCCCCCCCTCCACTACCTGTGTTTCTCGCTCCGACGCACGGAGAAGGGCGTTACTCTTGCAAACAAAGCAAGGTGACATTCTGCATGATGGTATCTCGCTGGGATGTTTTAGGCTGAGGGTAGTGTCCAGACTGCCACTGATATACAGTCTATGTGAGCTACAAGTGGAGAATCTAGTTCTGTGCTTCATCTGCAGCAAGAGTAACAGTTTCGTTGCTGTGTTAGAAAATGTAATGACCTGGAAAACTTGCATTTAGAGATTACAATGAACTTGTAACGATTGGCTATGTTTCTGTGAGGTCAGTATTAGCTCAATAACCACCTTTGTTTCATTACTCTGTCTTTATGTGTAGTCTATTACACGTGCCATCGCTGCATGGAAATTGACTGAAGTACAGAACACTTGAATAGATTCTCTGTACCTCTTGGGTGCTGAACTGGACCGCACTCTCTACAGCATCTGCAACACCTTAGAGCCAGCAGAATGTTTACAAAATACTACTCTCCTGTGGCCTATTTGAGAATTGTTCCTTTCTCCAGTTTCATAACTGAACACTTGCCCTTTTTCTGACATTTTAAATACATTTTATTATATTGATTGCATGCCTACCTGTTTTTAGAAAATTAAAGCTCCATTTTATTAAAAAATGAAGCTGATCTTTGATTTAAAATGAGAAGGGAGTGAGAATCCCCCAGAATTCTGAGTGCAATATAATCACTTTAACAAAATTATTTTTTGGAGTGATTGTTTACAATATATATCATATGTGCAGATGATAAAGAATCTTTGAGAGATTAGAACAGCTTTTTAGCTGCTTTATTGTTATGAATATATTAAGAATATTTGTTAAATCAGCACAGAGTAAAATGTTTCCTTTTATATGAGGAAAATAAAATCAGTGTAATCCTTAAATGACAAGGAAAAAGTGGTAATTTGTGTGCAAGATTTTATAGTTATCTTTTTATATATATTGATTAAGTGATGCTCTCAGGTGATACTTCAATCTCAATGAGCAGATGTGTGAAACTTTAGAACTTTTGCTGGGTCTGCCACAAATGTAGACTGGGTCTTTGTAATAATTCTACAGAAGGCATTTTTACTGCATTTTGTCTTTTCTAATTGTATTTTACTCTTAGGTGGTCACAATCTAAACATTTATTTGAAATCTGGTGAATAAGAATTGCTAATTTATATCGTCTTCATTCCTGGTGATAGGAATGCTGCCCCAGCTAGAGGAAAAAGAGGACTGGTACTCACTGTCATTTCTGTCTGCCAGAGGATTTGGCATTGTTACTCCTTTAACTTGTTCCAACTGTGATTGCATAGGATCACTTCACTTGTAGGTAAATGCATCAAGCTTTAGAGAATTTGAGGGGCATGTACCATTACTTAGGCTTAAGATTCTTGTGAAAAACTGCATTGTCCTGATATAAAAGGAGCTAAAGCGCCTACTGCAATACAAATAACTAATGTAATATGGGGGGGGGGGTGCAGCTTTACCTATTGAGTAACAGCTCGAGTTCATTCTGTTCTGTGTTTCCTTCACCCAGGTAATAACCATACACCTTTAGGAGGACTCTGACAAGCCAG